TTTCTTTTTGCTTATGTGGTGCTGAGGAATCGAACCCAGGGCCTCAGGCATGCAAAGCAAGCGCTCTACCACTGAGCCACCTTCCCAGCCCTGTCCCCTAGCTTTTTTGCTCAAGCCTAGCACTCTACTACATGAGCCACAGCTCCACTTTTGGCATTTTTGTTGCTTAATTGGAGTTAAAAGTCTCATAGTTTTTTGCCCCACCTGGCTTCAAACATAGTTGCTCAGCCTCTTGAGTAAGAGGATTACAGGAATAAAGCACTAGTGCCTGGCTTTTTAAAATTCTTGTGTGTAAATATGAATGTATTTCTTTTTTTGGTCAGTTTTGGGACTTGAACTCTGGGCCTAGGTGCTCTTCAGCTTAAGGTGAACACTCTGCCAACTTGAGCCACAGTACCACTTCTGGTTTTGTGGTAGTAAATTGGAGACTTTCCCGCCTGGGCTGGCTTTGAACCGAGATCCTCATCTCAGCCTCCTGAGTAGCTAGGATTACAGGTGTGAGCCACTGGTGCCCAGCTGTATTTCTTTTATAAGGTGTTTTCTCAGATATTTATTTCATCTTAAACCTGATTAGTTGGGTAGACTTACAGCTGAAAAAAGCACTATTTATTATACTAGAGAGAATCTAGATTAGAGGGGCTGGGAAGATGGCTCAGTGGTAGAGCACTTGCCTTGCATGCCTCAGGCCCTGGGTTCGATTCCTCAGCACCACATAAGCAAAAAGAAAAAAGCCGGAAGTGGTGCTGTGGCTCAAGTGGTAGAGTGCTAGCCTTGAGCTGAAGAGCTGAGGGACAGCGCCCAGGCCCAGAGTTCAAGCCCCACCGCCGACAAAAAAAAAAAAAAAAGAAACATTATCCACATAATTTTTACCCAGTTAACTATGATAATTAGCAATAGGAAAGTTTATTATAGACTTACATATAAAATCAGACTATGCATTCAATGCTTGTACTTTTTAACATGAAAACATAAAAGGAATTAATATATTATGTGAAATATATTGAAAATTAAGGTATAATTTGTAAAAGTATAACTTTTCAACAAGTGCATGTTGTGCGTGCTTACGTGCGTCTCTTGAGACACAGCTCTACTTCTGGCTTTTTTGCGGGTTTATTGGGGATAAGAGTCTGAAGGACATTCCTGTTGGGGCTGCCTTTGAACCACGAGTTACCCTCTGAACTGCTGGGATTACAATCGTGAGCTACAGTCATGCACTGTGATTTTTTTTTTTTTTGATTATTTTTGAGATAGGCTTTCACTTTATGCCCAGTCTGGCCTGGGCTATGACCCTCCTACTTGTGTTAATCTTCACTGGACATGAGATATATATAGATAGATAGATAGAGAGTGTGTGTGTGTGTGTGTATAATTTATTTTTTGCCAGTTGTGGGGTCTGAACTCTGGGCCTGGGTGCTGTCCCTCAGCTCTTCAGCTCAAGGCTAGCGCTTTACTAGTTGAGCCACACCGCCACTTCCAGCTTTTTCTGCTTATGTTGTGCTGAGGAATTGAACCCAAGGCTTCATGCATGCAAGGCAAGCACTCTACGAATGAGCCATCTTCCCAGCCCAATGATAGGATATTCTTATTTTATTATTTAAAAATTGTTTTAAAAAGTTTTTGAGACAAGGTCTTGCTATATACCAACTGTGAACATTGCTGGGAAAGAAATGTGAAAATCAGTACTGTTGACAATAGCCTCAATTTAAAAAAATCCCAGAGCACAAATCTAGGAATAAACGTAACCAAGAAGCTAAAAAACCTCTGTAATGAAAACTGAAATACAGAAGGAAGTTGAAGAAGATAGTAGAAGATAGAAAGACCTCCATGTCTCATGTCCACTAACCAGTACAATTAGTATTGTGAAAAAAGCTTTTCTCGTGAAACCAGCCTACAAATTGAGTGCAATGAGTTTCCTCACAGAAATAACAACAATTCTAAAATTCTTATGGAACCTAAAAGATCCCAAATAGCCCAGGCATTCCTGAGAAAAAGAGCAGTGTTGCATAGTATTATTACAGTACCAGATTTCAGATTTTAAATTGTATTATAGAATCATAAAACTAAAACCAAAAACAAGATGCTAGTGGAGATGCTAGTGGCACACAAAGAAAATGTCTAGAACTCAGAATTAAGCCCACCGAAAGAGCCACCTTATTTTTTGAGAATGGTGCCAAAAACTTATAGGAGAAAAGACTGCCTCTTCAACAGATACTTTTGGGAATATTGCATATTCACATGTAGAATATTGAAAATTGATCTCTAGCTCCTACCTTGTAAAAAATAACTTCAAAATGCTCAAAAACTAAGACCTGAAATAGTTGGAACATATTGGCAGTGAATTTTTTTTTTTCTTTTTGTTAGTCGTGGGGCCTGAACTCTGGGCCTGACCGCTGTCCCTCAGCTCTTCAGCTCAAGGCTAGCACTCTCACTTGAGCTATACAGTACCACTTCCAGTTTTCTGGTGGTTTATTGGAGTTAAGAGTTTCACCGACTTTCCTGCCCAGGCTGGCTTTGAACCGCGATCCTCATATCTCAGTTTCCTGAGTAGCTAGGATTACAGGCGTGAGCCACCAGCACCCAGCAGCAATAAGTTTTTTAATAGAACTCCAGTAGCTCAAAAAGAAGAATTGACAGAAGAGACTGCATCAAATTAAAAGACTTCTGCATTAAAAAAGAAAAGACATCACCAGAAGAATGAGAAATAGCAAACAAATGGTGGTGGTGGGGGGAGGTCAGGTATTCGGTTTGACAGGGGGTTAATATCTAGACCATATATACAATCTAGACAAGCATATAATCCAATTAATGAATGGTAAATGAACTTGAAAGTTCTTAGAAGAAGCACAGATGGGCCAATAAATAATACAAACACATGTTCCAACATCCTTAGCCATAAAAGAAATGAAAATCAAAATGACAACAATTCTTACACACTGTTGGTGGACTGTAAATGAGTGCAGCCACTGTGGAAGTCAGTATGGAGACTCCTTAAACAAGTAGAAACAAAACTCAAGTAGAAACAAAACTGTTATAGGATTCTGCTGTGCCACTCATGGGCTTTAGCCATCAGAAGCTGTCGTACATTAGCCTTTTATTCCCATGTTTATGGAGGTACTTTTCATATTAGGTACATTGCAGAATCAGCTTAGTTGCCCATCAACACATGAATGGATAATGAAAATGTGCTATAAAGCACATTTTGAAAGTGAGATTTTTGTATAGATTTATTGTGTTTATAAAGCCAAAGGCTGTCCTGTTTTCTTCTGGAAAATAGCAATGTTTCTTTTGATCTTTCTAGCTCAGTATGTTCCTGTGTTGCTTCTTGTGTGTAATCTTGTTTCTTCTAAAGAGAATAGTTCAAACACAGTAGTCCATGTGTACTATATCTTTCATGGTTTTATTTCTAAATTCTTAGGAAATCAAGGATAGAGCTATTGTAACATTCTTACTGAAATGTGCTTTTTTCTTTTTTAATTAGCTTATACCAGTTATACAGGCAGGGGTGAGGGGGAGGATTTCATTTTCAGGTCTTCATCTTTACATTGTATTCGGATCAATTTCATCTTCTATGACACTTCCTGCACCCTTTTGCCGAATGTAGTTATATTATTTTTTCTAACTGATAATTTAACAAGTTATCTGTTCTTTATTGGACCTTCCTACCAAAATTACTTAATTTTCATCATAAGGAAATGCTGTGGGTGATGTGGGGTAAAGTTGTTAATAGATTCATTTTTGTTATAGTTCTTAATATTTGTTTACTCGCTTCTATTGATGCATGTTATTTTGAATGTTTGGCTTTCTTCATGGAGTACTTTATTTCATTTAGTCCATATGAAGACACTATTGATTATATTCATGTTATTTCATTAATGCATTTTTGTTTGTTTCATCTATTTGATTAAGTATAAGAACTTCTGTACTTTTAAAAAAACAAATCTTTCCAAAACCAAATAGAGAAATTAGTGTTTTTTTTATATATTTCTTTTTGTCTGTTTTAGGATGCCTACAATAGAGTAGTTAATATTGTGCCAAAGAAATCACCACTGCTAGAAAAGAGACCACCACTGCTAGAAAAGAGACCACCACTGCTAGAAAAGAGACCACCACTGCTAGAAAAGAGACCACCACTGCTAGAAAAGAGACCTCCACTGCTAGACAGACCTGATGAAGGAAGCTACAATAGATATTACAGTCATGTTGATTACCGAGACTATGACAAGGGCCGCAGTTTTTCTCATGATCGAAGGAATGTTCTACCTCACAGAGGAGTATGTAAATTTCCCCCATGTACTAACTGTTATTTCTTTTTAACTTTTAAGTTCGTAATTAAAATTTATCTGACAGCTATGGAAGCATTTGTATAAATACTTCCTGCTCTTGCTCTATATGTTTTTTGTTTTGTTTTGTTTTGTTTTTTGGGGTCAGGATTTTGCTCTTTATCTCAGCCTTCCCTCAACTCAGCATTTTCCTGTTACTGTCTTGTAAGTGCTAGCATTACAGGTGTGAGCTACCACACCTAGCTTGACACTGTTGAATGGCCTACTGAGGTTGTCAAATGGTAACTAGTAGTCAAAATATATTGGGGAGTAGAACAAGATAAGAACTGTTAATGTGTAGATGACATTAGTTCAAACTGGCTTGGTATTCATTCATTTGCTTATTTATTTATTTGGTTATTCATTCTGGTCCAGTCCAGAATCTCACTCACAGGCTTGGAAAACACTCTATGGCTAAGCTGTAGGTATAACTTGCTTTTTTATCTCCTTAATTGGCAGGGATTTACATATGATGTAGGTGATTGTATCATTGTGATTATAATCCTTGGTGCTTAATAAGTGATGACCAAGTTGGTTACCATTCCTTATTGGACCTCCTTACCTAAAATTATTTTCATGTAATGAATGCCGTGGGTGATGTGAGTTAAGGTTGTTGGTAGTTTTTTGCTATTGTTTGTTTCCTTTTTGTTTTGGTTCTACTTCTTAACACCTGTTGCTCACTCAGGTCAGGAAGAATTAAAAGCTCAAAGCATCTTGTATGTCATATAATATTTGAAATGTTGGCTGCTATTAGTTGATATTATAATTTTTCTCTTTTGGGAGGGATTGTTCATTTTGGTAGTTGAACTTGTACCTCTGCTTCTAAGGCTAGCACTTTTTGCTTTTCTAATTGTATATTAGATCCAATGTTATGTTTTTACCCTAGTCTGGCATTAGAATTTGATCTTCCTGTCTAGGCTTGTTTGAATAGCTGAGGTTACAGTTGTACACTGCCACATCAGTCTTGTTGGTTGAGATTGTGTCTTGCTGATGTTTTACTTGGGCCAGTCTCTAAATATATTAATCTGACCTCCAGAACTACAACTCCTGAGAAGTTGGGTATATAGGTATATACCACCATGCTGGCATTTTGTTATTATCCTGATTGAAACTCTTAATGCAATTCCTTTATCCTAGCTGGCATATTTACAATATTTCTCTTCTAATCTGTTTTCCCTCCTTTTCTGTTGATAATAAATTTGACCTCATGTTGCTTACTGGATTCTATACTGTTCTTTCCACTTGAAGAAATGAAAGTAAGCGATTTCCACAGGTATCCTTTAAGATTATTCAGTATTTTTCTGCAATTTGTTCCTAAAGAGTATGTTTTTAGCTTCCGTGCACGCGCGCGTGCGTGCGTGCGTCCGTGTGTGCGTGTGTGTGTGTGTGTCCGTCCAGTACTGGGGCTTGAACTCAGGGCCTGTAATAGCGCTTTTTCTCTCAAAGCTGATGCTTTACCACTTGAGCCACACCACTTCTGGCTTTTGCTGGTTAATTGGATTTAAGAGTCTCACAAACTTTTCCTGCCTGGGCTGGCTTGGAACTGCAATTTTCAGATCTTAGTCTCCTTAGTTAGCTAGGATTATAGGCGTGACCATTGGGTGCCTGGCTTGTCCCTTCACTGTTTTACTCAAAGCTGGGCACTCTATAGCTTGTGTCAAAGCTCCACTTCTGTTTTTTTAGGGGTTAATAGAAGAAGATAAGTGTCATGGGCTTTCCTGCTTTGGCTGACTTCCAACCATGATTCTCAGACTTTAGCCTCTTGAGTATCCTGGATTATATGTGTGAGCCACTAGCACTTAACTCATTTTGTTCATTTTGTGTCATACTGTTTTTTTTTTTTTTTGTCAGTCGTGAGGCCTGAACTCTGGGCCTGGATGCTGTCCCTCAGCTCTTCAGCTCAAGGCTACCACTCTACCACTTGGGCCACAGTGCCACTTCTGGCTTTTTCTGCTTATGTGGTGCTGAGGAATCGAACCCAGGGCCTTTGGCATGCAAGGCAAGCACTCTGCCACTGAGCCACCTTCCTAGCCCTTCATGCTGTTTTTTTTTTTTTTTTATAAAGATGTGTTAAGTGTTGAAAAGGAAGTAGTGCATTTTCTTTAAGTTAGAAATACTGGATTTTGCCATCAGAGCAGCCATACTGCAGGTGTTCTTAGGGGAGAAAGGTTGCTTGCCCATAGCATAAGTACCTGTTATTCTTTTTATGAAAATCTATTGTAGTTCTTTAGTGTAAATAGACAATTTTGTATTCATTGCATTAATTCTTTATGCAAGTTTATTCAGATTTTTAATATTCATTATTTACTATAGTTCAGACATTATTTTCATCTTAGCAGAAAAACTTAAACTTAAGTAGTCACAATTGAAAATTCAGAGCTAGCACAAACTTAAGAAGTCTTTTCTTCAGGAACACAATGTCTCCCCATTTCTCAGCACTCTTTCTGTGCGGACTTACCAAACAACGGGCATTGTGACCAGGACTTACATAGATCTTTCCAGATCTTTATTGTGCAATGGAAGACCAAAGGAGAAGTTCATTTCCCACTTTATGCCTGAATAGATTTTATTGTTTGTTCATTACACTAGTTTTTGAAACTTCATGAATACATTTATTTAAAAAAAAACACATCATAATAGTGATTTAGCAGTAACACTGTTTCGTGCTCTTGCAAATGATATACTTTGATTATACTCAACTTTGTGGACTCTTACATTGTTTGCTTTACCCTCTCCCTTTGCTCGTGTCCTTCCTAAAAAATGTCCCCCGTTTATATTCATGTCATTTCCTTTGTGATGATTCCTTACCAGTGACTTCATTACAGGATCTTTTCTTGTCTATGTGTGTGCTGCTATGGCTTGAGCCTAGGAACTTACCTTTTCACTCAAGGCTAGAACCTCTGCCACTTGAGCCACAGCTCTACTTCTGGCTTTTTTGGGGGGACTGGAGGAAGGCTGGTTAATTGAAAAGTCTCATGGACTTTTTTTTCTGCCTTGTCTGGCTTCAAACCTTGATTCTCAGATCTCAGCCTCTTGAGTAGCTAGGATTATAGACATGAGCAGTTACCTTGACTTCTTGATTTATTTATTATTTTAATTTTATTTATTTTAATTTTTTTAGATTGCATATATGACAGAAAACATTTATTTGAGTCTAGCTTGTTTTGCTTGTAGTAATCTCCAGTTTAATCCAGTTTCTGCAAGTAACAATTTGACTTTATAGTTAAATAATAATACTTCATTGTATGCAACACATTTAAACTGGGCATCTAAACTTAGTGTGTATTTTGGCTATTGTAAATAGTGCTATATAAACATGGGTGTGCAGGTATTACTTTGTTTTGTGTTGAGTTACATTTCTTTGGCTATAAGCCCAAAAGTTGTGTTAAAGACCATATGGTAGCTCCTTTTTAGGTTTTTGAGGAACCTCCATAATGATTAACATAGTTATTGCAACTAGTTTATATTCCTACCTGCAGTGCATGAGGTTTGCTTTTCCCCTTTTGTCCTCACCAGCATTTATTTATTCATCTATTTAACTTTTGTGCTGGTCCTGGAGCTTGAACTCACTGCTTGGGTTTTGTCCCTGAGCTTCTTTTGCTCAAGGCTAGTGCTCTACCACTTGAGCCACAGCTCCACTTCTGGCTTTTTCTGTGATTAATTGGAGAGAAAAGTCTCTCGGCTTTTTCTGCTAGGGCTGAGTTTGATTTGTGAGCCTCAGTTCTGAGCCTCCTGAGTAGCTAGGATTATAAGTGTGAGCTCCTAGTGCCCAGCTAACATTTATTTTTTGTTTTGCTTTTGCCAATACTTGTTAGGGCAACATTCTGCCACTTGAGCCACACCCCCCCCAGCTCTGTGCTATTTTATTATTTGCTCATAGCCATGAAATAAGGGGGAGTCTCCATGTTATAATTTTTTTGTTTTATATACGTGTGTGTGTGTGTGTGTGTGTGTACTTACTCATTTTTATATTTTTAAAGAGTTTGAACTGAAGACCTTGCACTTAACTAAGCAGGCTATTTCTCCCCTTCAAATCAGACTTCAGCCCTCAATGTCATTTTGATTGTATTTCTTTTTGGCTAATGATGTCAAGCATTTGCTTACTGTTTGTACTTTGAGAACTGTCAGTTCAATTTATTGCCCATTTATTAATTATATTTAATACTTTAATACTTTTTTTGAATTCTTTTTTTCAAATATTAATTCCTTGTTAAGATGAATACATTATGATTTTCTCCGAGTCTGTAGGCTGTCTTTACTCTGGTGATTGTTTCTTTCAAATGCAGGAGCTTCTTTTGTGTGCTTGTGATGGTCCTAGAGCTTGAACGCAGGACTTGAGCACTGTGCCTGAGCTTTCTTGCTCAAGAATAGTGTTCTACTGCTTGAGCTGCTGCTCCATTTTCAGTTTTTTTGTTTTGTTTTGTTGTGTTTTTAGTGGCTACTTGGAGATGAGTTTCACAAACATTCCTGCCTAGGTTGGTTTTGAACCACAATCTTCAGATCTTAGCATCCTGAATAGCTAGCATTACAGGTACAAGACACTGGCCCCTGGTGCAGGACCTTCCTGTTCCTCTTCCTCTTTTCTCTTTCCTCTTTCCCCTTCCTTTCCTTTCTTCTCTTTCTCATCTTTTTTTTAAAATAATTTTTTATTGAAATTAAGTGATTATATAAATTTCACAAATTTCACAGTATTGTGGGATAGGCTAACTTAATTAAAGCCACAAATACATTTTAACCTTCACAAGGCAAATTGTTATTATCATGGTCTACAAAGTTTGTGAATTCTATAAGCTTTGACAACTATTTCTTTCAAATTGGGTGATACGTACGTTTCTTTCCTTTGGCTTAGTGTCAGCTGTTCCCACTTGCCTTCTCATTCCTCCCTCCCATCGCTGCCCTTGGTTGTCCAGTGCAGCTGATGGGCCCCTCTGTTGTATATTTTCTCATTTCCC